AGGGTCCTTCAAAAAAAAGTGTCTGATTTCAATAGGCTTTTGCAAAAATCATACGACATATATAGAACAATTAATTTTATTTGTGAATAGCTCATTTGATGCCGCGAGACTGCGAGTGAGAACATCCATCCAACAGTCTCCAAAGCGGTCAGCGGTTGAATATGCAGCTGCCCTGGCATTGTCAGAAACGAGTGTATGGAGAATTCTGCATAAAGAACTTCAACTGCATCCCTACAAAATAATGGTTGCCCAAAAGTTGTCTGAAGGAGATGTTGAAACTTGCAAGGCTGCATGTGGTGAAATTTTGTAGAACATTCCCCCATATGCTGTCTTCATTTCTTCTGATGAAACCCATTTCCACTTGTGTGGAACTGTTAACAAGCAGAATTTCCACTATTGGGCTGCAGAAAATCCTAGGAAAGTCCACCAACAACCACTACACAGCCTAAAAGTCACAGTTTGGTGCGCCGTTGCGGAATTTGGTGTGTGGGGACCGTATTTTTTTTTTAAGATGACAAACAGTAACGGTCAATGCCGATTGCTATTGTCACATGATAGAGACATTTTTTCGACCCAAGATCAACCAATTTGTTTTAGACCATGAGGAAGAAGAAGTTTGGTTCCAACAGGACGGAGCCACAGCTCACACCGCTTGCCGGTCCATGGAAATGTTGAGAGAGTTGTTTTCTAATTTCTGGATGCCTTGTGTCTTCAAGAGGAGACATTTCCTGGCCCCCATGCCCACGGTCACCCAACTTATCACCTTGCAATTTCTTCCTGTGGGGCTACCTAAAGGCTGAAGTGTACAAACATCGTCCCAGAAATCTGCAAGAGCTAAAACATGCCATTAGGCAGGAAGTGGCAGCCATTCCAAGGGAAGTTACAGGAAGAGCTATGGGCAACTTCTGGGAAAGACTTCGTGAATGTCTTAACAATGGGGGACATCATTTATCAAACATAATTTTCAAAACCAACTAAAGTGTACTAAGTGATGTAAAATGGCATCAAATAAGCTATTCACAAATGAAATTAATTGTTCTGTATGTGCCATATGATTTTTGCAAAAGCCTATTGAAATCAGACACTTTTTTTAAGGACCCTGTATTAGTATTACTATTAGCTATGCCTGTAAATGCAGTAGGGGCATAGCCCTAATGGCTGCCACTTTGCTTAACGGTCAATGAATGGAGGGGAAATTCTAACGAATTGATTTTTTAAGCTATTGCCATATATTCTTGCAATAATTGCATCTCTGTTATTATTCTTGTCATTATTTTGCTTTTGATTCATCTCTTGCTTACCATTTTTTAAGTAAAATTCTATTGAGATTTGAGAACTCTGTCATAAAGACTCCCACTCCCAGTCTCCCACTCTATCTACTCAGGCTATTCTGACTCAGCACTCAGGGGCTGGATCTTAGCAGTGACCATTTTCCAATTTGCTGCAAAATTGGTATCAAAAGACAGGTCCTGTGATAAGGCTCCATTCCGGTGGAAGCTTTTACAAGCTAACTGGCCACGCTATCAGCAGCTCCTCAATGAGACACTGGTTGATTTGAAGTGTGGCTCTGAAGATGCTAACAGCACCTCCAATTTTTTGACAAATTCCATCCTGAAAGCTGCATCTATGTCAGTGCCCCGCAGCTCTGGACAGAGACACTGTCACTTCTCCACACCATGGTGGCTTATCTTAGGATGATAGATTTTGGAACAGAACTAGCTTTCTGGAAGCTAACCCCAGATGTGAGCTAAAAGTAACTGTTTGCGTCTGGTCACCTGATGGTGCTGGTCACTGCTGGTGCACGGGCTGCATGGTAGGATGCATCATTGCATGCAGTTCCACTGGCAAGCTGGGTTGGTTGGTAACTTGGTGGCAGTCTGTTGTCCGCTTGTTACAGTTTGAGCTTAATACACCTGTTTACGGATGCTCTAACTCTAAACTCGGCACACTGGGCAAGCTGAGGGCAAATTATGGCGGCAGTGTCTGGCAGAGTAGTGACTTTGCTGAGGGTGCACAAGAATAGTGAGGTTTGAACTGCACTAATAATTGTGCATGAATTTTTTTAGTTACGCTTACATCGAACCATTCCCAGCAGGCATTCAGTGGTTGAATCAACTATGCATTACAACATTGAGATTTGAGATCGGGATGAAAGGAGGTTTAGAATGAAAATTGAAGCAACGTCTTTAATGAAATGTTGTACTGACGTTACAATGCAACATTGAATCAATGTTGCTACTATGACGTTGCTGCAATGTTGAATTCTAAGTTTGAATAGACGTTGAAACAACTACGCATTACGACATTGAGATTGCGTTGAAAAAAGGTCTAGAATGAAAATTGAAGCAACGTCTCTCATGCAATGTCGTACTGACGTTACAATGCAACGTTGAATCAATGTTACTACTACAACATTGCTGCAACCTCAAATTCTCTGGTTGAATCAAAATTGAAGAAACAACCTGTTTTTCATCCATAGCAGGATTCAATCCCGGGATTGCTGGAGACTGTGCAACGCCTTAGCAACCTTGACCACGGCAGTTTGCATGCATGAGCAATAGAAATAAGCTAAAGAATTGTTCAACTCCTTGAAAATCAAACTGCATTCTCTGGTCATTATTTGTACACTTAAATATAGGTATTTCATTCAATGTTGGTGTGATAACATGAGTTCCATGTTTGTAAATAGCTTAACATCAAATGTACCAATATCAACCATTTTTCAATGTTGAAATAAGGTTGTTTACGTCCTTTCTAGTTTTAGTCAGATTTCAACTTTGATCAGATGTTTAATTTTGGTTGTTCAGCATTTCAACCAATAAACAATGTTGTTTGAACGCCAGATGCCTGCTGGGTATATTTTCATTACTATTTAAAATCTCTCAATTTCCTAAGTATAGTTTAAGTTGATAAGTCTAGTTCAAGTTGATAAAATTATTTTAATACATTCATTACATTATCTGTTTACTCATTGAATGATTTTCAAAAAAATAATCCCTGGTTACTTTGCAAGGTAGCTGATAGTTTCCTCTGCTGTTGATGCAAAAGGAATGCTGTGGAAAGGAAGGCTGTGGTTTCAAGAGGATAGTGGGGAGGAATAAGAAGGTGAGGAATTGGTGGGAATAAGGGTGAGGAATTGGAGAGTGGAGAGGAATTTGTGAATGAATTAATTGCTTGGATAATTGGGCCCTGAATTGAGTGCGCTTAACATGTATGGGACAGAGTTGCATGGTTTATCAACAAGTGTATTATTCAATGCCCCAAAGGTAAGTAAAAAATTTGAAGACAAGCTTATTCTATGCTTTTTATTTTATATCGGCTTATATTTTACAATAGTCTCATTGTCTTTCCTGAAACCTTTGTTATATGTCATTCATGGCAATGATTTAGTCTGTTCATTGATATATATTTTTTTTGAGGGTTGGGAATACTTCCTCACTGTTCAGATCAATGAACAGTCTGGGAAGTGTTCAAGAAATAAAAGGCTAGAGGAATCAAATGCCTCCTCCCCCCTCCAAGCTCACCCTGATCCCCTCCCCTACCCACTACCATTGTATACTACGTTAAGTGTTGTCAGCCTGACAGCCTCACAGCCAACATGAGGGTGAGGGTACCTTCATACCCTAAAATAGGTATATATATATGCTATATCTTGTTCACACAATCATGCCCTGTCAACAGTTTAACAAACACGGACAAATCCAGTGCAAATATTGTTTCAGCCCTGTAATAATAAGTGCAGTAGATTCAGCCAAGAGGTATATAAAACAGGAGTAAATTGAGGAATTTATCCCATCTTTCAACCCCTTTGGGGCTCACCCTAACTCCCTCCTTGCCTCTACATTCATCAATTGCTTTTTGTTTTCTTAGTCTCTCAGCCGGTGATCATCCCTCCAACACAGGTTGTAAGAGATGCTCATGGTCTTATGCAGCTTCTATGTTCTATGTTACGCTCTTGTACGACCATGACATTCATAGACCAGACTGCAAAGTGGGAAGGGAAAAAAGTGCATGTTTACCTTGAAGAGAAAATTTATTGCCTGCGCCTGCAGGAGACCATGGCAACCAAAGGTCAGGTCGTGCTTTAATCTACGGAAGTTTCACCTACCTGTGGACTTCAAGTGATATATCTAATACTAGATGAATAAAGTTGCTCACTTTATGAATATCAGGGTGCAAAATTTTATCCTCCCTGATAAGAGTTAAAATAAAAAGTTTACATAATTTATCTTAATGCCTGCATACTGAAAATAATTAGCTAGGATAGCATTCCAAATTCCAGACTTGAATCTTATTTATGAGGAGAGTTATTGAACCAATAAATAGTTAAGAAACTCCATAAGCGACTATTGAGGCTGAGCACCTTTCTGCAGAGTCTTAAGTCAGGGTATGAAGTGACGATTCGATGCAACATTCAGTGGTGGAAAACCATTACTCTGGGCTATTTGCTTCAGAATATGGTGGCCTAAAGCTCCTAATATTTAAAGCAAGATAATGTCATGGGCTGGTTACTGATGGCAGGGTTAATCCGTGGCTGATTGGTGGTCAATTGGAAATATGCTATATCTGTGTCCCAATTATGATGAAAAATATCTACTTTCAAACTGGCATGGAATATATTTACCATTTGAGCTCCAACTTGAGCTTTTCTGCCTCTAGGGAGCCAGAAAATTCTAGCTAGATGAATTACTTATTATCTAAGAAATGATTTAAGTGTGTAATCAGGCTGGAAGATTCCAAATGCCAAAAAACTTTGTCACTTTGCAGATTTCATTCATAGGTGAGAAAATTCCGATTCTGCTCTTGAACCTAGCTGGAAAATCAGGAAAAAGCAACTTGTGTGGTAAATGAGACAAAAACACGGGACACTGTAATGTTCTATGCACTTTTAGGCATATCTGATTAATTATTAACTACCTGAGGTAGGTTTGGGTACTGTTAACAAATGAGGATAAATGAGGCACAAGTTAAGTACCTACAGATTAGATACTTATACTTATTGAGAATATATCGGCTTACAGTTTAAAGGTTTCAAGTGCTAAAGGAGTAGAATGTTAACATGTTTGTCTAGGGTTCATACTGATGTCTCCCGGGTTTAAACAAGTTTATAAAGATGTAATCTAGGTGATTAGTCTCTACTGGGTAAAACAAGGAAGGCTAATACAAGGATATGTTTATCAGCATTTGGATGGAGGAACTATCTTATAACCAGAAAGAAATTATTTGAATATGGAATGAGTAATTGAATGCAGAAATGACAGAATAATTTTCCACCTTACAACACCCAGGAATGTGGTCTATTAAACCTGTTATTATGAACATTCCACATCTTTTTCAATGTGAAATAAGAAAAACAACAAATTTTCACCAATTGTTTTCAAAAATCACCTCTGAAATGATTGTTTTTGCCCCCTAGATTTGGAAATCTATCTAGAAATCCAGATTGGCTTGCCAAGCAGCAAGTGGATTATTGTCAATAATCATGGCATTCAATGAATGTCATGATTATTGACAATAATCAACTTCACCTGTCCAGGAACTGCAGCAACCTGCCATGCAGTAAAATGTCGCTAATTATCTTCACCACTTGCTGCTTGGCAAGCCAATCTGGATTTCTGGATAGATTTCCAAAACTAGGGGGCATTTAATTTATGGTGGCATTCTAAATGCCTTCTAAATGACCATGTACCTATGTAATTGAGCATTGTGGCATTCTTTCTAAATGCCTACTAAATTACAATAAACCTATGTAATTGAAGAGCACGGTAGCATAACTGACTGCCTGTACAAGTGCATTACAGTGCTCCAGCACCCAAATAACTGCCATTTCCTTAACAGGTAACTCCCATATCCCTAATATCCTTAACATATGATGCTGTCAGTATGGCTGCTGTATTCTAATTATTCTTGGTATATGGTATTTGGTATATTCTTGATATATGGTATGGGGCTCCCTTACCTAGTTGCCACTATCAGGATGGGCAATGACAACAAAGGTGAACAGCCTGTTTTGCAGTGCATAAAATAATAAATCACTCCATACCTCTGTCAGATCACCTGTATGCCATTTTTTCAAAAATATTATTGTTTTGTTGTGCAACAATTGACCACATCATTTCATGTCACCTCATTACACACCATCTGTTTTGTTCCACCAAGAAGAAAGAAGAGGTCACCACCATTAATTTTAGCCAATTTGGAATTCAAAGGAAAAATTTTCAGTCAAATAGTTCTTATAAATAATGCTGTAGAATTTCATGTATTTTTAAGACTAATCCCATTTCCAATATATATGACACATTCAAATGTAGCCAAGTAGTCTGCATCAAATATTGATGATGCATGCATATAACAATCAATTATGTGCTTAAGTAACTTGGGACTAATGAATGTTGTTGCATATGTTATAATTAAAGCCTACTCATGAGCCTTCATTACACTTTACAATTTCCTGTATCTCTCCAGTCCTACTACTGTTGCTGCCAACAAAATAAATTAAAAACTTCTACCTCCGTGATTCATAACCAGCATCACATTTGACAATGGTGCCCATTACCCTGAAGCAGAGCCTCACTCAAGCATCACCTGGTGACTGCAAAGTAAAGTCAGAAGGTAAGCAAGATTCCATGTGCCATACTAATCAACTGTTATTATGCAGGGGAGGAACTGAGGTTATGTCAATTTATTTGATTGAATTTTCAACTGTATATATTTCTTAGGAGTTTCAATACAAGATTTGATGACTATGTATGTGAATTTTTCACTTGAGTCACACTCATCTGAGTGATATTTACTTTTTTCTATAGCTCACATGACTCATTAATTTAGAGAGCATTATATTTACCATGAGATATCTTGCTCCATAGCCCATGTACCAGAAACCAATGTACATATTTTTCAGCTTTAGAAAATGCTAATCCTCCACCAATCCTTGAAGTTTCTGCTATCTACATAAAGGAGGAGCCTGAGGATGGAACTGAAGAAGTATACATCAAAGAGGAACCATTATTATATGGAAATGAGGTAGGTGGAATTGATGTGCAAATAAATGTTTTGCAAAGCATATGAAATTCCTGCGTAGATTTCCAAGAAAAAATTGGCACAATGCTATAATCAGATGTTCAAGTTAGGCATCAGAAAACAAGTCCCAGTATCAAGCCTAAAATATTAAGCAATAATAATTAGGTAAGAAGTACCCTCATCTTGATTCATTAATTGATTAGAAGTTATGGTGGATTTGATCCATAGTTACTCACTTTAGGTTCACTATTCTATTTCCTAAGTCACCATTTTCCCTGTATCTGTTGTAAAAAAATTATATGTGATGGCCTAACCATATCAATGAATATATAAGAATAGATCTGAGTATGGCAAAGAATAGTGCTAGAGAACCTTCATGTCAATTGATATAAGTTTTTAAGTTGAGTGATGCAACGTCAGTACAATGCAAATATAGAAGTGCCTGCAACATTTACTCATGCCAACTTGATCCAATAAGAACTTACTAGAAGTGTGTACCTGGTTTTGAAATTGCCACTCATGTTTAAACAATATATCCAGTTAATTTTGTAAACTCGCAAGTGATATATTGCATTATTGAGTATTGACATGAAAAGACATTTTATTACCAGTAATTTGTGTTGCTACCACATTCATATGCCATTAAGAAAGTAGGAACTTGTTTAGAATTCCATGAGGAGTTGTATATTACATCCTTCTTCATTGAATGCATGCATCACTGCCAGTGACATCAACATTGTCCTCCACATCTTCCCAGTCATGTTCAACTGCACATCTCAGCCCTGCACCTGCATTCTCCTCTTGTGTGCCATGCAAGACGGAAGCTCAAGTTGAGGCTAACAGCGCCCTCCCAAAATCCTCACAGAACATTTTTGCTCTTTCTACAAATCAGGTAAATTAACTCAATTTTCGTAAAGTTGGAGCAATAGGCGTCCAGTTCTGACAGTTTTATCAATTATTGGATGACAGATGGTTTTGTAGGTGTGTAGTAGTTTCCTAGTGTTGTCCATTTGATGTTCCCAAGAGAACTTATGTCACGTTTTGCTTTTTGAGGATTTTGCTGCTGCAGTTTTGTGTTGGGTGGTAAAAGTAAGCACGAGATCAAAGTTTAGGCCAAGGATTTTTGGGTTGTATTCAGTCAGAAGTTGAGTTCTGGGCTGTGTGTGGTGTTGTGAGAGTGAGTGATGATTTGGTGTTTGAGAATTCAGTTTCCATTTAAAATTGAATGTAACTGAAATAATGTGAAGTTAATGTATCTAATTTTACAGGAGTACTAACTTGCATTGCAGTTTTATTTGTGTTTAAATTGAAAGGGAAGCGTCTTGGTCGCAAGTTGAAAATTTTGGCCTCTCTGTTTTATTAGCTCATTTTGTATCTGCTTAAAAGGCGCATCTAATGCAGCAAACTGCATGCATGTGCAAGCTCTAGTTTTTGCATAAAACAATTTTAAAAATGTAGAAAATGAACATTTTTTAACAATATTTACAAAGATTTCTTTAAATTAAATCTGTATATATAGATCATTATTCATGCTAATTGCAAAGTGTTTGCACCCGTTTGAAAGCTACAAACAAGATGCATTCAACAAAGCTAATACCATGGAGGTACATGCAATAATTTTTGTGTAAGGCAGTTTTGAACTTTTAGAAATTGACAATTTAATAACAATATTTAATAATTTTCATTTAAAATGGTATTTCATTTAAAATGGTATAAAAGCTACAACTAATGCACATTCAAAAAATCAAATATCAATGATGTACATGCAATGTTTTTTGTGATAGGCCATTTTGAACTAATATAAAATTAAAATTTTGTATATACAGGGTCATCAATATTTAGCGTTACATTTTTTTCAAAATCAATTGTTGATGATTGTCCTTGATATTTGTCATTTGTTTACACCTTCTCATTAATCTTTATCATTTCAGATATTAAAAAACAGTCAATGTAGTGTTGTCGAAAAGCGAACTGCCATTGTTGAGCTGTTTAAAGCTGGGAACTCCAAACAGGATATTTTGAAGAGCCTAAAAGTCAACAGAATGTTGGTTTGGAGGACCATAAAACGTTACGAGGAGACTGGAGATGTTCAGAATAGGCCAGGGCAAGGTCGTCCAAGAACTGTTAGAACCCCTAAACTGATAGATTCCACCAGAGAAAAGATTAGGAGGAACCCCAAGAGAACCATCCAAAAACTAGCAAAACAGTCAAATGTGTCGTATGGAACCATGTCGACTGTTCTCCGGAAGGACCTAAAG